TACGCCTCATTGTACTAATAAGTAATATCTAAGAGTACAAGCTGCAATTTTAATTCCTATCCTTGTAATAAATTCCCAAAAAACGTTACATTTTTACCAAATCTGACTGCCTAGTCCCCTTAAATGTTTGTAAATTTTCTATATCTCTCTCTTGTAAAGCCCATCGCCGTAGATCTACTTCATGCACAATTACTCTTAACTGCCGAGCTTCCATAAATTTATTAAATGTATACTCTGCAATACGTTTTACCTTTTCCTTTTTTGTGCCACCCTGTTCAACTTGTAAAGCCCACTTACGAAGCATTCTTTCGGATTTCACGTGACGGAATTTGGAACGCACGGTGTCTAATTTTAATCGCTTCGACATACCGCTGTTCCAGTACGCCACAGCTTTCCTTTTATATTCGAATGGGATGTATTCCTTATTCGAATGACATACAACGTTTTCTTCGTACATGTTTGGAACATTCGGTGTCCTATTTTCCTCCTCTTCATCTAACCAGTTCAAATCAGCATCCTGAATTTCTTGTTCGATAGGCGTCCCGTCCATTTGAACACACGTTTCATGTTCAACCAGGAATGCTGTGTCTTCGACACTTCTTACAATTAAATCGAATAATACATCCCTTAAATATTCTTCTGCGATATTAATTGCATAGAAACGTTTAATTAATTTTATGCCCACCCTACTCCGAGTTAGAGTACTTTCTGACAATATATACAATTTTATTTAAAAAAGTGGAGGTGACCTTAAAATCTCTGAAACTCCTCCAGCTGTAGAAAAATTATTACTGCCTTATTATAGCCCCCTCTATACTGAACAATTTTTGTTAATGAAATTTCTTCATATCTGCAAAAACAACGGAAATATTCAAGTGGAAATTCCTATTGGACCACCATATATATGTGGTGCAAATTTGCAGGTAAGTAGCGTCTAGATTTGTTCGATTCTTTTCTTAAATTAAATCCCCCCCGCCATTTTACCACAAATCAGTAGATTGTAAGTTTTAGTGCCTTTCTATACATACATAAGTAAATCTATTAGCATACGTAACCTCTCTTAATATAAATTATATAATGTAGCATTAGGTGCAATACTATCAATGTGATGTTCAGGTTAGGCGTGCTCGATACCGGAGCCTTTGATCTGTTACTATTTTTGTTGTTTTGTTAATCTTTTTGGACGTATAAATTTATTGCACCATTCTGTTTGTACTATTTATTTGTACAAGAAACGCCCGTTACAAAAAAAGGCGTCGAATCTTCATTGATCATCGAAGTCAAACTGCATTCGTCGCGGCACCCAAAAGGATAGGTGCCGTCGAATTCTTTCGTTTGATACTTCGTGGTGAATGTTTCTGACATATATGTATTAGGAATTAATGGGAAGGGTGTCCCGGGGTGTAATTTTATTTACAAAACTTTCAAGTTTCTCTCCCTCTATACTCTATGAATTCCCTTCAAATTAAAGCGATAAAACTTTCTAAAAGCATTAAAGAATAATTCTACATATCTCATCTTCTATGTAACAACACTAACTATTTTTATATAACACACTTCCTTTAGTTCTTTCACGATTACAATAATTAAAACAAAAGACATGTTTTTAAATAAATTTAAAATAAAGAAAAATTAGTTTTAAATAAATGTTATTTTCGCACTTCTTTCATTATATTATCTCCCTATATTATATAATATTATCCTCTTTCACGTCATACTATTAATACTTAGAAGTCATTACTTAAAACACCAAAACTCTTCAAAATTGTAGTGGTGCTACAGTTATACTCCGCAGTGTATTCGTGTAATTATTGCAGAAATTTTTTTACTATTATTGTTGGATTTACTATGACTTTATTATTATTACTATTACATGAACTTTTTCGTGGCATTGTCCAAATTTCAACATGAATTCTTGCATTCATCTGTCTACTCTTACTGTGAAATTGTTTGAATAGAGCTACAAGACTGTAATTTTTTAATAAAGCATTTATAGGTTCGTGAGGCATGCTGCTCTTGTTTCTGTACTCAAAATACGCTGACAAAGTTTGCACGGGGAAGGTTGAACGTTTCAATTAGGTTACTCACCCCACGGCAATTAGAAAAAGGAAAGAGAAACGACGATATTATCGCACAGGCAGCATTTTTCCGCGTATAATCGAGGAGAAATTGCCTCCTGCCACCGTAACTTTGGAATTAAGTTTGTGTACCCGTAGCCTAGTGGAACAAAAGGCCGAAGAATATTTCCATTATCTGCACATTATAGCGCCGCCGCGCGTTATTAAACTATCTGCCGGGCAAACATTTGACGCCGGTAATTGCGCCCTGTCACTTGCACCGCGTCACACTGTACACACGACAATAAATGCACCCCCCGGTCTCTTCTTTGATCTTCAAATATTTGCCAACGCAGTGAACGACGCAACCGTACAAATTTCACCGCGATCGACGGAGTGTTATCCACCGATGCTTTTGACTCTCTCTCTCTCTCTCTCTCTCTCTCTCTCTCTCTCTCTCTCTCTTCGAATCCGTTCGATCGCACGTTGTAACTTACGCGTCCTGGATCGTACTTCTTCTTTCCGTGAGAACGCGTTAATAGAACGCAAACGAGTTGAAAATTGCAGCCGCGTACTTCGTTCACTTTAAAAGGCCGCGATAATAACAACGTCGTTGTGCTCCGTGCGCTCGTAGTTGCTGAAGTTGTGAAGTTAATCAAACGGCCGTATTTAGTAAACACTTCGCAGTGGAAAATTGATCGACGAGGTATTGAAAAGAGGATCTACTTTCTGCTCTTTTCACGCTGGAGCACAGTCGAGCTTTTGATTTGTCCTTGAAAGGTGATAGAAAAGAGAGTTGTATTGTAACTCCGAGGATAAGTGGTAAGTATGAGAATATGTCGTGCAGCATGAATGAGAGAGAGATGGCTGATAAATTTTTGATAGTAGTCCTGCACCAATCACTGTGCAAAATTCGTGAAAATCGTGCCGTTTAGCATAGCGGCGGTCAAAAGGGGAGCAAGTTTTTCTCTGTGTACTTTAACCCTTTGCACTCCGTTGTCACCGCCGTGGCGACATTGTAAGTGGAACCAACAGCTCCATTGTCGATACATTTTTAAGAAAAATTGAACGCCTACAAAGTATCTTCCACAGAGGCGCACTCGCGCCATTGTAAATAGTCTCGGAGTAGCTGGTAGCCCATAGTAAATATGATTCAGAGTTTCTGGAAGGTCGTATTAAAAATAGCGAGGAGTGCAAAGGGTTAAAAATGGTTGTGTAGCGAAAAAATAAAAGCCATACAAACCATTTTGATTAATACCTGGACCAAGTATTTTTATACTTTAGAATTATTACAATTGTGGTGTGAAATTTATTTAAAATCTCACTTTATTGTTGTGAGGTCGAATTACAGATAAATCGAAAGCGATTATGCCTCGAAGACGGTTGGTGAGAAGGCGCAAATTTGACGTTAGTCAAATTTGACTCGGCCAGATCTCCCAAAGGAGGGGAGGGGGGATAGGTAGGTGAAATAGGTAAGAGTGAGAGAGGAGGGAAGAGAAACCATCGTCTGTAACCCGCGAAGGAGACGTCTGTTGTCTCTGTGAAGGTATTTTGGAGAATTGGATTCAACCTAGAGGTGTCGCTATGATCCGCGAAGGAGCGTCTGCCTCTAGGAGGTGGATAGGTAAAGATGGTGAGGGTAGAGACAGGACAGGAAACCTGGTCCTGGAGTCTTCGGTCGCTCCGTACTGACTTTTGCAAGAACAGGGAGTGTCGTCTATAATCCACGAAAGAGACGTCTGCTCGGTGTATGCTAGAGTAGTCTTAGTCGGCTTCCCGCAAGAACTGACTTTTCTGGTCAAAGGGTTATCTTTTATATGTTTTGGGGAAGCTTGACTCGACCAATCACGGCGGGTCAAGCTCTTTCGGCGGCCGTCGGTCCGCTACCTGAGCGAGCGAGTACGCAGCTCGTACTCGGTATGGCAGAATTTAAAAAAAACAGTTACTCTACACAATTATTTATTTTGAATAAATGTGTACGAAGATACTCTGTTGTGCCAGAAAGTGTACATTTTCCGGTTGCTTCGCTTTGATCCAAGAACGCGATGCTAATAGTCGAGACCTTGATTATCCGCGCATTATGTTTGCCTGCACGGGGGCGGTAAACTATATATAATAGTTAACAAGCTCAAAGTTCCGGCACATGTTGCCGGGAAATTATCTAAACTGGGTCTAGTAGACCAATATCGATTCGCTATGGTTTCTGAAAATTAGTAATTGCCGTCTATCGACAAGTATGTTGGAGCAACAGCTGCTAACGCTCCGATATTGAATTAGCGCAAGAGCTGTGTTCTAAACTGAGTACAGGCTCAAGAATTTTAAATTATAGTCCCTCTCTCTCTCTCTCTCTCTCACTCTGTCTTTGGTTGTCCCGTGAATATTCCCAGAAGTTGGTGTTCCGATCGATCAGGTTAAACTTTTCCTCCCCTGCTGTGGTGAAAATAGGTGACGCGGTGAAATCCTTGCGACGAATCGCGTAATTCATCACCGTGTCCCGACGAAATAAGTCAGCAGCTTTCGTCTCGGACCGCCTAAGCGGCATTATGAAAGCGGCACGATAATATCTTCGAGGTGGTTGAAGCTCGAGAGAGCCTTGTGCTAGCTAGTGGAACCGTTATGGTGTTGCGTGTGGTAAATAGATAAACGCCGACTTGAAGTGCATGAAACGGCACGGCGAGGGAAGATAGGGAGCACGGCGATTCGGGAAAATGTATTATACCACGGAAATAATTTGCATTTAGATCCCTCGATATTTCAACCGGTGAGATATTTCCGAAAATTCCACGCCTCTCGTACTAGCTACCTCAAATCGTCATCTTTTTACCGATCTGTTTTCAAACCAGGAAAAAACTGACAGTTTCGACGATTCATTCGCGCAAGTTAAGTTAGGATCTTTCGATCAGGAGACGATTACAAACTTTTTTTCTTTTTTTGTGATTTCAGCGATCACTCATGGGTCCTACATCAGACATTACAGCGCCGCTTGGTACGACACGGCTGCACTGAGGGAACATCGCGGCAGAAGTCGTCGTGACACTTCGGCTTCCGGGCATCCGGGGGACGCGACGCTGAATCTACGTCTTCACGCTCTCGACAGGTTCGTAAAACTACGTATTCTTACTGTGGGTAGACAGTGGGAGAAGAAAAAGGAGGTTGCTGGTATAATGCGGTCGGTAGGGCAAGGGGATGAAGATGAAGGAAGAGGTGTAGGGGGTGGGGGGAAGCTTTGTCGAGGAAAATTTCAGTTTCTGACGGCTGTCAAAGGAGGGAATAATCTTTGAACGAGCGGCTGTTTTAACGGGACCAGGTTACAGAGGAATATAAATTTTCATATCGCCTCGACGTCCACCGACAAACATCGATCGTGATGTAAGTATAAATGATCCTCTCGTCAAATCTTTACTGGAAATCGACTTTTATTTATTAGTACAGTGTTTTCGAAAAAAAAAACGAATAAGTATATTCGTCTTCTTTAGATCGAATTAAAGGTACGACATTTACTTTTTGCTTTTTTCTTTAGAACAATCGAATTAACGATTCCCAATCCCTGAGAATTCTCAATATAAAATTGCTTGGAATAAGAGACACCGCGAAGAAAGGATTATGCACTGCACACGGCGCCAAAGTGTAATTCGTTGTTTTATTTCCTTGTGAACATCGATTAAGAAAAGTTCCGCAGCCTTTTAGCATGTTATAACGAGGACGATTTTAACGTGGTCTTGGAATAATGTAAAGTAGAGAGTAGGGCGGCTGGCTGAGCTCGCGGTACTGCAAAGGGGTAATTATTTTATGCACGTGGAAAGTGCTTTCTCTCGAGAGCGCAACTTTCTAGACAAAGTTCGGCCGAAGAAGCCGAATCTTCTTACCCGGCGAAGAGTAAGAGTAAGAGTAAGAGAGTGAGAGGCAGAGGAGGGACTGTTTCATTATATTTTGACCGTGTGAAGTTACGCGTAATTTAAGGTGTCAGTAGTTGAAACGAACCATGGCAGAGGTGTCTAAAGTAACTAAACCTTCCGGTAAGGCATTGAAAGAAGGGCAGCTGGATGTACTGTGCATATTTTATTACCGGATTATTATCTTCCTTACGTAAAGTGAATTCGTCGGGTCATTAAGCAAACCAAGTTGCAGCAGAAACGTTTAGCATTGGTCAGACGTAATCGTTTGAATTGTTATCGATGCCCTTCTAATCAACATAATACTCCAGCACGTCGACAATATGTAAATGGAGTTTGGCAAAGCAAGGGGGAATATGCGCTAAATAATAAATAAACGGGTCAGCGAATAAAGGGAAAAGCAAATTTGCATAATGTCGTAATTAAATCAGCACAAAATCAATTACAGACCAATTATTGAGCGTTCTTAAGTGTTACAGTTGCAAAACGAGTCGCGTATAGGCAGACGCATGTTTATCGCGTCCTCTTGTGCACCCTCTACATGTGCAACGATCGTCAGCCTTATGTGACACTGTCCCGACATGGTGGCCATATGCCTCGTTGAGCATCGGAATACGCCGTCAGTGTGTTGTCACTGCCATCGACACAGATCCTCTAAATCTCCGCGTTACACTCAAGGGACCAGACAGCTCTGTTTCACTGTCGCTGAACCGTTGCACAGGATAGTTCTGTCTTCCCTGTCTGTTTACCCTATTCTTCCTCTATTTCCGTCAAATACATTTCTACTTCTTTCTACCCTTCAAATATATAGGTACAAATGCAGGGTAAATTTGATCAGCTCGAATATCTCGATCACGTGAAGGTCATGGTATCATAAGTCATTGAATAGGTCTTAACCTTAGGTATTATGTCGTGTTGATTAAAATATTTACTTCCTTTTAAAAAAAACACCGATGACCTTGAAATCTCGAAAAGTATGACTTTCAGAAAAATTTTTTATTTGTCACAATATTTGCCCTTTCGAACCAAACAGTCTTTCTTTTAACCTTTTTTCAGTACCACCAAGAATAAGTGAGATATTTGAGGGGATCAAGTTATTTTATTCACCCCTTAGATCGGGGTGAAAATCGTAGAATAGCGTAGAATAAAGTTTGCAAGTTAAATTACCGAACTACATAAATTTCGACTATTTCTTTCTTAATGTAATTCCACATTTTTCTTAGACCGTTAACATGGACTATTTTCTTCGTACTTGGAAAGTTACCAGAGCTCGAATGAAGGGCTCTTAAAGATAGAAGTTGGAGAAAAAGCGGCAAATGTTGTTCATCAGTTTCATCAACCCTTTTCCATTGCTCTCGGTTTCTTCGATTCTCCATCAAGCTTTCCCATTCTCCATCAAACTTCGTAGCAGCGTTTTTGCCCAGGTTCCCATCCTAGTACGAGCAACTCTCCGCTTTTTGGCCTGACAGTTTCCCTCTTTGCTCCAGTTTTCCCCGTCTTCGCGCCGCATCCACCTCGGTTTCTCCAACATCGTCGAGCTAGAGAGAATTTGGTCGATACGAGCCAGTCCTGATTCGAATCGCGAGAGAGCACCTGGCTCGAGTGCGTCGCCTTACAGGGGTTTGCCTACCCTTTTTATACGAACACGTTCCTTTCCATTCAATCTACCACGGCGAAGAAAGTCGATTCTTCTTCTTGTGATTTTTACGTCCTTAAAAACCGGAGAAATAGAGAGCAAAGCGTTTTGACCTCGAGGCTTACCGTAGTCGAGACGCTAACCTCATCCCACCCTCTCTCACCCCTCGAGGCTCGACTGGCTGGCTGGTCGGTAAATTTTCGTCGAAATACGAATGTTGGGACCATCGCTCAGGAGGGGGAAAAAAATGTGTGGCGGGAAGTGGCGGTGAAATTTATAAATGCGTGCTTCGGTCACGAATAACGCATGGCCCCGCGGTCTGGATGTAAAGGATGCTTTACGATGTAGTCCGCCTAGCGATTTACCGATGGTTTTATCATTCGCTCGTCTTCTGATTTGAACGTTTAGAAGCACGCTTTATGCTTTATTCGCGGTTTTATATCTTCCTTCGCATATTTCTTTTTATCAACAGTGAAAGAAATGAATGAAAAATTTTACTTAAAAATATGGAGAAATTTTCGTATAATGATCTGATTCTTTTATCCTGGTTAAAGGATTGAAATGTTGGAATAAGTTATGAAATGCATTTAAGCAGGAATAATGTTTTATTCGAATACGAAATCTAAGTCGGGATATGTTTACCTGGTGAACAGAAGGAAAACCCAAAGTTTCACGAAACCTTTCCGGCCAGGGGCGATAAAACTTCGTTTTTATTGGCTGATTCGGTTATGGAGGCCCGATGGTGGGGCAGCTTTACGACGGACGGAGTATCAAACTCGAGGGAAAACAACTGAAATTCTTCCGGCGCCTCGATAAAGCTAAGTAGAGGATAAATTCAAGGATCGTACGACCTCTCGTATCTCTGCCGGCCCTTGAGTACATCACAGAACGATCAAACATGTACTACTCCCTAATCAAAGTGTTACACGCGAGTACTGAGGGGATAAAAGAACCTTTTATTTCCACTAACTCAAGCAATAAGCAATTTCATTTTTTCCTGTTGAGTTTAAAGTATCCTCGATGATAAAAAGAATATTTACTTCACCCAATATACTGTTTCCTGTAAATGTATGAATGAAATTCACTGAATTAGAACTACAAAAACACTTCGAATTGGAATTTTTTCGTATTGAAGATATTATTTATAACATGACCCAGTACTTTCGATTAAAAAGAACTCACAGTCGTCTGTCAATTATCCAGCACGATTTTTCAGCTATAAGTGAAAAGGTGGATGGCCATACGCCCCGATGGAAGTTGCAAAAGGTAAATTGTCGAATGAGAAGGTCGCGGTGTGGCTACTTGCAAAGGGAAAAACACTCCTTTATGGTTAACCTGGTCTACAAAGGGGTAGTTAAGGGGACGATCGTTATCTCTCGGACAATGGTATCGCGACTGGAAGGATAGTTAGCGTTATTTTCCAGTTAAATCCAACCCCTTTTGTGGATCCTCCCTTGCGAACAGTAGCTAGATGGGTAGAGTGCAATTAAAATCGGCCAGGTTGTCTGGTCGAATCTCGTTTCTTTCGTCGACGCTTAAGATTTAATTGGATTGTTCGTTAATGGGGTTCCTTGAGCGATAATCGGTCGGGTACTGTTGCAAATAAACTGGCGGCGCGGTTCCAATTAACCTTAATATCGGCACTTATTGCGCTCGAGCCAATTACCTCGTCTAATTGCAGAAATTCAGACGTGCCGATCGTCGCCAGGACACCCAGGAGAGTACAACAGAATCAATTCGAAATCGATTCGAGAAGAGCAAATAGAGTGGCTACCACCTCGAGGGGTGTGCGTGTTTCCACCCACGGCGTATCGTGGACTAACGATTCCCTGCTTATTAAACCCTGTTTATCGAACAGCCTTTGGGCTACTGATGAGAGATTCCATTAAGTCGCGTTCCAATCGGCTTACGGTATACATATATCGCTTTCCAGCATTTGCATATTTCAAGGGTTGCATCTAGGTAAATTGCCTGAATTTTACACCATTGGAAAGCTTGAGCTTTCTGGAATATATTGTAAGTATTTTACATAAATATGTTGGAAATTAATAGAGTTATATGCGTTTGAAAGAGATACAGTGACTATTATTAATATTCGAACACTCTTTAGGACAGTATAATATTTTTTAAATTGGACCAAACGACTTGAGTTTTGTTTTTACAGAAGTTAGAAGGATTATTTTACTAGACGACATCTAAAGAAGAAATTTTTTGGAATCGCGAAGAGATTAGTAAGGGTCACTTTTTACAACTTCTTCATCTGAGCCTGTAATGAAAATTTAAAACACACGTTTTGTAGATTCATGCCAATTATGTATAAGTTGAAAATTTCATCGAAATCGGTTAACATTGCTATGAGATATAAACGGTTAAATGTTGTGAAAATCGCTGTAATAAATCTAAAGATTCTTACATCTTTCGATGGCTGTCACTTGTTTCTACATCAACCGATTTCGATAAAATTTTCAACATGTATATAATTGACATTCATCTACAAAACGTGTTTTTTAAATTTTTATTACAGGCTCAGATAAAAAAAGTTGTAAACAGCGACCTTCGCTATTTTCT